GTCTCTCTCTCCTCCTCCCTCCCATCATCGGCAACGTGGTCCTCCCCATTGCTATGCCCGGCCGTGCGCGGGGGCGGGGCACGGGAGAGAGGCATGCGGGATGGACTCCGCATGCTCGCTGCGTCGCTAGCCGTTGTCGGGACGCGCCGGGCCGGGCCCCGGGCCCCGCGGGCCGCCCGCCGCCTGCCGCGCCACGGATGGCGGCGTGTGTAGTGCATCAAGGAGGACCGGACCCAGGCTGGGGAGCTGCTTGGCGACCCCTTGAGACCCGACCGCCGTGAAGTAGAGGACGTCCGCGCGGGGGGCCGCGTCTATACGCACTGTAGACAAATACGCGTTCGGCTGGCCTGTCAAATAAAGGTCTCTGTTGGCTTTTTATTTTTTTGTCGAGAGAAAATGAACAAGACTTCGTCAAACGGATGTTTTATTTGACTGTTCTCTCAAGTCGTTGTGCTTGAGAGGATCCTGAAATTTTTCAGAAATTCCAAACCACACAGCAGTGAAATATTTACAAAGGGCGAGCGGTTAATCACGATAATAAGTAAGTAATTTGCCAAGAAAGGACATGGGAGATGATGAGAGCGATGACTTATCTATGTCTAATCTACTTGCAGTCAATGAGCCGGGCCACCAAGCCTCGCGGAGACCCCTTGACTAGCGTTGGGGACGCGAGGCGCACTGCCAGGCTGGGCGGAGACAGGTGCAATGTCGCCGTAAATTCAAAAGTATTGGGGGCAAGGAGCACTTGGCACCCGCACCAAGTCCAAGCACTTAGCAAATGACACCAGTTCTGGATCGCAGCGCTCAGAGCTGGTGCGGCCGGTGCGGGGAGCGCGGGGCGGGCGGGCCCGGCCCGGTGGGGTTCACAGCCGTATTCACGAGGCGCCCTGGGCCTACATGGGGGCGCCGTTGTCCTCCTTGATCATGTCGGCGGCCTTCTCGGCGATCATGTAGGTGGGCGCGTTGGTGTGCGCGGCGGGGATCTCGGGCATGATGGAGGCGTCCACGACGCGGAGCCGCCCCACGCCGTGCACGCGCAGCCGCGAGTCCACCACGGCGTTGGGGTCGGACCGCGGGCCCATCTTGCAGGTGCCCGACTGGTGGTAGATGGTGAAGGGGAAGTGGCGGATGTGGCAGCGCCTGCGGGCACACGGGGTTAGGCGTTAGGCTCAAGATCGGGAGGGGGGGAGGGGAAAAGGTGGCCAAGGGGTCACCCAATGGGTCACACAAGGGGTGATTCAATGGGGTGGCCCAAGAGGCGGACCAAGACCAAGAGGTCTTAGGGGTCGCCACGAAAGACTCACCAGTACTCGCGTGTGCCGAAGCCCTTGCTGGCGCACGCCGGCACGGGCGTCTTGTGCAGGGTGGAGCCGAACTTCTGGAAGGGCGGCGTGTCGCTGAGCTCGATGGTGCGGAGCACGCCGTCCACCAGCACGTCCAGGTCCTCCGGGTACTGGAAGTAGTTGTGGTAGATGAGCGGCTTCCGCAGCGGGTTCCGGTCGCGCAGCATCACCCGGCCCTTGCTCTTGGGCCTCATGAGCATGGGCAGCGGCATCCACGAGTCGCGTCCCTCCACTGGCGCGAACATCTGTGTGTGTGAGAGGGGGTCGGGCTCAGGGCAAGCGTGACGGGATGGGACGGGAGCCTGGCGACAGCCACACGCCGACCACTGACCTTCTGGTAGAGCGCCTCGTCGATGCCGAAGTTGTTCCGCAGCGTGGGCTCCGAGATGATTGAGCCCGAGTTAAAGAGCAGCTCCAGGTCAGGCCAGCCGTCGCGGTTCTGCGGGTCCTTGAGGTCGACGAATCCCACCGACTCGCAGCCGCCGGGGATGGACATGGGCCCCGTGTGGTAGGCGATGTAGTCCACGTAGTCGTCGTGCGAGTCGAGGATGCGCTCGGCGCGCAGCGACACGGACTGGTTGACGAGGAAGAGGACGGCGCCAGCCGACACGTGGTCCATGAGGTTGTAGCCGACGGCCAGGTCCTGGATCAGCGGGATGCCCTTCTCCTGCAGGTGCTCGCGCGGCCCGATGCCCGACAGCATGAGCAGCTGCGGCGAGTTGATGGCGCCCGCCGACACGATCACCTCGCGGCGCGCGCGCACCACCCGGCGCCGCCGGTCGCGCACGAACTCCACCCCCGTGGCCTCGCGCGTCACAGGGTCCACGAGGATGCGCGTCACCACGCTCTGCTTGGACACGTGCAGCGTGCGCCGGTCTCGGATGGGCCCGAGGTAGGCGCGGTTGGAGCTCCAGCGCGTGCCGTTCTTCATCGTCACCTGGAACAGCGGAACAGAACGTGTCGGGTCGGGGCGCCCGCGAGGTGGGCCGGCCCGCCGCGCACGCGCGCCAGCGGGTGGCCTACGCCACGCGCCCGGCCTGTCGACGGCACCCACCTGCAGGTAGGAGTAGCCGGTCTGCGTGGCGCCGTTGTAGTCGTTGAGCCATCCCCCCTTGAGCTGCGCCGCCTCCAGGAAGGCGCTGGCCAGCGGCGTGTGCCAGGGGATGTACGTCACGGACACGGGCCCGCCCACGTTGTGGTACGTCCGGTCGCGCGCCAGCTCGGGGATGGTCATGTCCTCCAGCTTGAGGAAGTACTTGAGCACGTCGCGGTAGCCCCAGCCGGGGTTGCCCAGCAGCTCCCACTGGTCGTAGTCGCGGTAGTGGCCGCGGTTGTAGATCATGTAGTTAAGCACGCTGGAGCCGCCCATCACCTGCGGGGAAAGCAGCGGTAAACAATAACGTACGACGGATTACTGCCTCTACAAAGCAAGGACGTCGTCGGCTGGTTGCTCGTTTCGATGGCATGGTGGTATGCTGTGGTCTTTGACCTTTTGTATAGAGGGAAAATTGGATGGGAGGGGGGAAGAGGAGGGTCAGTGCGCGCACAACGCACACCTGCAAGGTCAGTAAAAGGGCGGTAATATAGGTCAGTAATACCACGGCTGATGAACAAATGAGGTTTTCCGACGAATCTCGAAACGAAAATGATCCTATGTAATCTAGAAAGAAACCGGAAATGATGGTGGCGCCCGATTACTCGCAGAGCCCTAGATCCGGTCACGGGCCGGCAAAGTATGCCTGGGATGTCTCCTTGGTGTCCGAAAACCAGGAATAGCGAAGAGAGGAGGGAGCGAGCCTCTCTCCCCCACTGCAGACGCTTTCAGACGCCATTGGGCTGGACCCTAATCACTCGTACGTGGGGCGTGAGACTCTGTGCGGGCAAGTTGGGGTGGGCGGGGCGTCAATGATGTGGTTATGCAGGGTGTAAGCGGTCG